AATATTGAGATAATAATAATAAAAAAAAGGTATTTTTAGAAAAGATTAAACATTCCAGTAACTGCCTCGTAATAAATCGTAGAAAGCTTATATATTCACGACTTAAACTCGTAGTGTAAAGTTCACAGATAATAATAATAGTAATAGTAGTAGTAGTAGTAGTCCCATCGGCAATGTCAACGCTTCACCCTTGTGGCAACTTCTAATACGACAAAGTCCTCACAATACGAGAGGAAAAGTACTCCTGGGATAAAGAGGATACTCCTACTTGATCCTTTTCTTTATTTAAAGGTGCTTAGAGATTTTCAGACACTCGACTGGATGACTTTTGTCGTTTGGAAAAAGTATTCCCTAAGACTATATAGAATAGTGATAGAAAGAAAAAGAAAAAGAAAAAAAAGGCACAAACGGAAGTTCCCATAGAAATATAAAGATTCATGTTATGTTTATTATATATATATCTACACCTGTAGATAAATAATTTTTAGATAAGAGATAAAACAAAAGAAAATTCTATAAAATATATGAGAACTACATTATATAATATATATATATATATATATATAAGTATCTGTAGATATAATTCACAGTAAGGGAAAATAAGGGAGTTAGGTATAACTCCCTTATTCAAAATGAATGACTTTAACGCCTCGAGTGAAATTACTATCTGCGGTTGAGTCTGACAAACTTTCTCTCCCCAAGCAAGTTGGATAACAAGGTGAGGTCGTCAAACAATCGAAGTGCGAGCCCACAATGAAACCACGGGGATTGGCAACCGGTTGAATTGCTCCGGCTTTCGAATTCCGCTCGATGGGACTCCGATAAGGCATGGGTCAGCAAACTAAGACGTGCTTTAAGCTCGATCTAGATCACGATCACGATCATGTTGCTGAAATTCGACTTATTTCAACCGCGTTAACAAAAAGTTAATGAGAATTAAAAAACGAATGATAGAAAAAGTATTGGAAAGAAAGAAAGAAAACTTGTAAAAAGTATAACATGAAATATAACGTTAAGTATAAGGTTAACTTTGACATTAAAGTTATCATAGAAACATTGAAAAGCATTTGGTTTGCAAAGTTGCAACCATATTCGTTTACTATTTACATACAAACATACCGATTTGACTCTGCTAAAAAGGAAAACGGGCAGACACTAGTTTACCTTTTGGAAACAGCTTTCATAATCGTTTCTATTTTGTTAAATCCTATCATATTCTCTACAGAATATGTTGAAATTTCGAAAATTATTATTACTCGTGAATGTGTACTATAATTCTAAGGGAATGCATTATTTATATATACACATGTATAATCCTCGCATTTAAATATTATTCCAAAAATATATATATATATATATATATTATATCGAGATTATAATATATTCGCGTACGATATAATTTAACGTAGATTAAATATAAAGGAAAAAAGAAAAAGAAAAATAAATAGAAACAAAAATGAAAATACATTTTGTTGGATAAGCTATTTTAAAGGATATTACATGTGAAAGATGAAAAATAGGATGAAATCAGTTAGTTAGGATAAGTAACATCGATACGTTTTACTAATGTGCACTATAATTCTACGGGAATGCATTATTTATATATACATATATAATCCTCGCATTTTTAAATATTATTCCAAAAATATTTATATATATTCGTGTACGATATAATTTAACGTAGATTAAAAATAAAGAAAAAAATAAAAAGAAAAAGAAAAAGAAATAGAAAATACATTTTGTTGGATAAGCTATTAAAGGAGATTACATGTCAAAGATGAAAGATAGGATGATATCAGTTAGTTAGGATAAGTAACATCGATGCGTTTTACTAATCCAAAGAGCTACTAATACTTCTTGAAAGATTTCTCAAGTAATCACCTTTCCCTTTTAGATGTATATACCTTATCCTCTCTCTCTCTCTCTCTCTTCTTACAGGGTAGGTTGATTCCTTTCCTGAAACTCTGCACTCAACGTAAGGGTAGTTACCGGTAGTACTTTTACCACCGACTCGAAAGTATCAAATTGCATGGAGGTAAGCGTTCGATGCACCACGGACTTTACATAAACCCGTACTTTGCGTTTCAATCTGCGGATTAAGTTGCGCTAAACTTTATGGAATGCTCGTATACTGATTCTAAGTCTTAAACGGAAAGATCCTCTTCCTCACAGACCGCGGACAAATTTTACTACTCTTACACGAGATCCTTCTTCTTATCGATATACATTCGAATATTCTTATGGTTATTTTTATTAACGAGAAATAATTATAATTATAATTAATCCTGTTCGATTTTAATACGAAAAAAACCAACAAACAAACAAAAATATACGAAGACGTAGAAAATGCATACGTGGACACAAAAATAAAAGTGAGAGAGAGAGAGAGAGAGAGAGAGAGAGAAAGAAAATCGAATCTAATGTGTAAATTTAACACACTTATGATATTAGATATTATTTTAACTTTCGATGATACTTCAACATCTTCAGATTACAATATAGTACTTCAGATTAAATTCTAAAGACTTTTGAAGGAATTCAAAGAACGAACTTAGACATTGTATTACACAACTCTCTATCTCCCTCTCTCTCTCTCTCTCTTATACGCACGTTCAGTACTTGAAACAAATTTAACAAGTTTATCGAATAGCGTTAGAATTTAAAGCGTTCGCTGGTAGAACAAACTCGCTGATACCAGAGGAACTAGTAAAACTGAACGAATATTTCTGTCCTTCGTTTATCGTGCCAAAATCAAGCTAAAAAGAGAGAGAGAGAGAGAGAAAGGGCAGTGTTCGTTCCATGCTGTTAAACACGCATACGATGCACTCGTACCAATGTAACACGTCCAATAATGTCGACAAAAGCAATGAATACCGTTTACCGTCTACCAAATTAAATGCGATACACTTCTGTATAACGTTATTCGACCGTATTGCTTGTATGTACACGCGAACGAACCATTTCTCTTCTATCTATCTATCTATCTTTCTCTTTCTCTATCTCTATCTCTATCTCTCTTTTCCTATTTTTACATAAATCCTATACTCGTATACAACACTTGCTTATAGGTATAAACTATCCGACAAGGAAAAACATAACGATCTATCCATCACGATCTTTCTTCTTTTTTATTCTTTATTTTTTTTTTTCTTCTTTCTCTCCCTTAAAGTTACGAGCTTGCTACTACTACTACTACTACACTATTACTACTATTACTACTACAACTGCTATTCGCTTACGAAGTTTCTTTAGCCAAGCTAGATTTTTACAGCTCGCAGTAGCTTATGACTTTGGAAAAGAGAGAAAGAGAGAGAAGAGAAAGTGGGGGAGGAAAGGGGGAGAGAGAGAGAGAGAGAGAAAATGAGAGAGAGAAAATGAGAGAGAACGTAAAAGTCGACGAGTTTCCTCGACGTAATCGCGAAAGCACGTGTTACATGACTTACAGTCCTCGTCCACTCACTCTCTCTCTCTCTCTCTCTCTCTCTCTCACTCTCACTCTCTCTCTTTCTCGTGTGATCTCAACCCGACGTACTTACATTATCTCACGCTATACTACAAAATGACGGATCGTTTCGTGGCGAGTAGATAAAAATTTCAAGCACGCTCACGCTCACGCTCACGCTCGTGCACTATGACCGAGATTCGATATGGAATCTAAAATGAAGAGAGAAATATTTTCTCTTTTCCTGTCTCTCTCTCTCTCTCTTTTTTTTTTCCTCTAGCATCGTTATCCTTTTTCGATTTTTCGAATTTCAAACTTTCAAATCGCGCGCATAGTTTTCATCGTATATTCATATATGTACACGTGTATGTGTATATAAAATATTATATTCTAACACGTCGATAAGATCCTTGAGAGGAGGATTGGTAGATGTAATATAACAGAAAGGTTGTACCGAATTACTTAATGTTGGTCATTACTACAAATTATCAGCGTCACGTGTAAGCCATGGTTGATTGCAATTTATCCTTTAACTTTAATTCGAAAGGAAAGAGAAAGAAAGAGAGAGAAGGTATTTTATAAAATAAAAAATACTAAATAATTATTTGATATTATTCATCGAATATGAAATGTAATATGGTATTCGTGAATTTGTACTTATTCGTATTAGAAATAAAAGAATAATAATAAATTAAATAGTTTTGTTGAGTGTTCAAATATAACGGATCAAGAGATAACGAAGTGTAGATGATGTATAGTGTTTTGAATATTAAAAAAAATGTATGTATGTCTGCTTAAATAAAAAAGACGCTGAACTTTAGTAATTAAGTTGCTGAAGAAGTCCCAATAAACGAGACGCAACGTTCAACTAATCAAAAGGAAGTTCTAGTTTTTTTCAATGTCCAAATTTTATTTTTCGAGACATGAGAAACAACTAATTGAATAAATTAAACGTTTTTAATTAAAATATTTCATTTTACCTAATGTATTTATTTTCACATTGTGACATTATTTATTCGTGAGAAAATAAGTATAATCATAATGACCAGAGTTCATTAGAAACGTCTGCTGGTCGTATACTGTTTTTTCTTCAACACGTTGCTTGGATACTTTACACGAAACAAATGGAAGTAATACCTTTACGTAATAGAAATGTAATGTGTCTAATAAGTATGATAGAAGAAGGTTGAACAATTCTGAGTCTAGCATGTGAAAAAATTCTACGAAATATAAATAACCCTATTATCATTCTTCTCTCAATCATTTCGTTCATTAATTATACATTTAAAATCCGATACATCAAATAAACGTGACTTATACTTAGCGTGATAGGCTAAGCTATAACTTAACCATAACTCATCGATTCACATTAATTTCAAAATATCCTTAATTCATCTTTTCAAAACGTATCTAAAATATTTATCGTCATTACGATTTTATTTCAATTTTCATTTTTATCATACACATGTTGTGACCGTTCTAATGATCTAATTTAATTAACGAAACGTTTTTTTGTAACTTGTGCAAATCATTTGCTGGCCGTATGATTAAAGTTTACCTGGATTTACGGCGTAGCAGTGGTTTAGGAACGGCAGCCAACAGAGCAGTAGCACCGCTCTCTGCATCTTAAATGAGAAACGAAAATTTCATTAGATTTACGAGAAAATATATTATAAATATAATATACATTTATATTGTATATAATACAAACTCTTTCGATATTACACGCTTGTAACTATTAAATTATTCGATTAATACATTCAACGAGAAACTTTGTTCTTTACCTTCGATACAAAAAAAAAAAAATATAAAAACCATTTCAGATGAATGTTTCCTTTTTTTATAATTTTTAATCAAACGAAAACGCGCACAATATTGTTTATATAACTTCGTGCGCACGCTTGTATACATTATATACACATGTGTGTGTGTGTGTGTGTGTACAAGTTAAAGTAATAATTAACGGTTAGAGTTATCGACGTGAGAAGTAAGAGAACACACGATAATATCTCACGTCGTCTATCCTACTTTGTTATTACGTCATAAATAATTGACGAGCTTAACGGACACTGTTAATCATGTCGAAACCAACGGTGGATGAGAATACCACGGAAACTCGAACGATCGGCAGAGTAACACCGACTCGGAGATGTTAGGACGTATAATCGAGTGTACGCGTGGTGAACACGTGTAGAGTAAGCCAATCCCTTTCTCCCTTTCCTACATACACACACACACACACATAGATATAAACGTAGGTACTGCAAGTTAGCCCGTTGGCCATCGGCGTCGAAAGCAAATGAACTCTCTCGTGCTTGCGTATAAGCCAAATGTGCTGAAGTTCGAATATACATGTGTACATGAGTGTGTATGTGTGCACGTCGACGAGTCTCAGCTATGCTGAGCATTTCTGAAACTCCTGCTAGTCTTTAGTTCACAACCCTGCATCCAAAATCGCAGCTGTGATCATTTGAAACACGTATCGGAAATAACATTTCTTGGATATTACTTTGATACCAAGAAAATTGGATCGATGGATCTGTAAATCCTTATACTATGTATGTGCTTTTACATCATTTTGAAAAAAAAGAGGAAAAATCCGAGATATAATATTGTAAGAAAAGTATATAACCTTGGATGAATATAACGTTCCCTTTTTATATGGTTACGTCTTTAAAGAGATTTCATCATATGAACTGTGCGTGATACGTATCGGAAAAGAAATAAAATGTATGTATTATATTTTGATAGGATCAATGTCGTATAAGAAGATAGTGGTAAAAGAAATGGGGGAATGAAAAAAGAAAAAAGAAGAAATAGAAGAAGAAAAAGAATTAAGGGAAGTAAAGGAAAGTAGAAGAAGAAGAAGTCGTAACTTGGCCTGGAGCAATTGGAAAATCAGAAATTGCCACGAAACTTTCTCTCTCCTCTCTCTCTTATGGTATACAACAGGAAAAGTGCAATATCGTTGAGTGAATTTCTTCCTACTTGCAAAAAGTATCCAATTGTAAGAGATCTTCGAATGTATCCCTGATAGAGATACCTTCATTATCTCGAATTGTGTAAGTATGTTTCAAGTATTCAAGAGGAATAACGATTAGGAAGTCGTCGTTTAATTATAATGAGAGAAGCAACAACCAATAATAGGAACAACCAAAACGAGTATTACAACCCCACCCCCCTTCCCACACCCACCCACCTCTCACATTACGAATTCGAAACAATCGGATTTTCATAGCTGAAACATGGAAACGCAACGCGTAACGTACGCGTATTATATTCATACAAACGTATACTATATATATATATATATATATATATATATATATATGTATGTGTATGTATGTATGATTGTACGAATGAATGTTACAGTTTTGGTACGAGCATTCGACATCGGTCGAGGTTTTGTTCCGCTAATAAATTTTCAGGGAAACAAAAGACAAATACTATGGCAAATAGGTAACCCCCCTTACCCTCCCTCTCCACCCACCGAACACACATTCATGGATTTGGTATATTATTTCATTTGATTTTCCATACAATGTGAAATGGGGTTTGAATGATTCCTATTATAGATCGATAAATAGGAGGAGAACGTTGATGATCATAGGTCAAAAGTGCATCAACATTTTCATTCACGGATCACCGATTGATCTGACAATGATTTTAATTATTGACTTCATTTATCCGATTATTTCTATAATATTCATTTTATTCTACAAAAATATATAATAATAGACATTTTAATAAATGAAGATTATAAAGAAAATGTATAAATGTTAGACGTTATCGAAAT